TTGTGTCGAAGATCAAATTAAAACAACAAATTTGAACTGAAAATAACCAGGAAACGTACATAAATGTCAAGGCAGTTGAAAATGTTGGATAGGGACAACTCATTAACAGATCTTAGTTCCTTTCTCATTTCCTTACCTAAGTTGGTTTTTTTTTTTTTTTTTTTTTTTTGGAAAATTTTTAGAGAGCAGATGGTTTTACATATTTATACAAAAAAAATTTTATAAAAAAATCAAAGTGAATACTGCTCACTTAAAGGTTTGCATTAATCAAAACCATAAGGCAACTTTCCTATGCTATCTTAAAGCAGATTTATGACTTATCAACAAAAACCTGAAGTTTTTCATAGCAAAACCACCTACAGTACAAATAATGAATCAGTGCCAAAAAATTATAACTTTAAGGATACCTGGCACTCTGAAGACAAAATATCTGAAGTGGTGTCTATTAAAAATAAAATTGCAATTTTTTTCCAAAGAAATATTTGAAAATTTAAAGTACATCTTTTATTTGCTGATGGGAAATATTGTTTAAGTTCCATAAGACATAAACAGTGATAAAAGGGATACTTGTAACATTTTATTGCCACATGCCCAAATTTTAAGGATTAGCTCATAATGTTTTAATTTTCCACAATCTGATTGAATTCAATCTTCTTTTCTTTCTCAGAGCTAAGTTTTTGCTTCCAAGGCCACATGAGGAAGAAGTCAGAACACCAAATACTGGATTTCTGATGGCAAGTATAATCTTACTTCCTTCTAAATTTGTTTTAAAAAAAATTCTTCTACTTTTTTTCCCTTAACACAAAATTGAAAACATACCACAGAATTTTTACTTGTTTTTTCTATTTAACATTTTCCCATGTCTTTAAATATTCCCCCAAACTTAATTTTCAGTGGGCGCTATATATAGATCCTATGGAATTCTATAGTAATACATTTAAGGTTTAAAATTGTTTCCAATTTTTGGATCTAATTGGTGGGATGAAAATTCTTAGGCATAATTATATCTGCGTTTCAGGTAATTTAGGATAAATTCCTAGAAGTTATTAGCTCAAATAGTAAGAAGTTTGACTAGTTATATAAAACAAACTGCTTTCCATAAAAATTATGAAATTTACACTCTATTGTTTTTTCAGAATGCTAATTAACTGCATATAAAAAAATAATGGATTTTTTAAAAAACGCTGTCAATTAAAAATAGCATCTCATTTCTGTAACTCATCTTCTTATTAGTCAGATGGAATATTTTATGCTTCCTATTTGTAACTCCACCTTTTCAAATTGTCTGATTGGTCTTTCATTTCATCTGTTTTATTGCTAGTTTTTTTTTATACTAAGCTCGTATAACTCAGTATAAAAATATGTAACCCTTGTTTATGGCATCTAGTAATTTTTAATTTTGATGTTGTGCAACCAATCAACCTTTTTCTTTATGATTTGGATTTTCCATGATTTTTATGGTTAGGCAATCCTTCCCCATTTCAACATAACCACTGACATATTTTCCTTTAGTTCTTTTTTGTATTTTGACATCTATGTTTTTAAAACACCTGGAATTTATTTTTGGTATGGTACAAGAATGATGATTTAATATCTGGTTGCATGAGAGCTCATTAATCATTACCTCCAAAATTTTCCAATCTATTGTTCCAGATTAACTTTTAAAGATCACTTTGTCAGCCTTATCCCTCACCCCACTTAAAAAAATTCATTACGATTCTTATTGAAAATGCAATTAAACTATAAATGAAAATCAGGATGTATAGAAGAATAATAGATACTGGTGTTCTTAGGTATCCTTGAGTCTGTTTGTTATTGTAATATTTCCATTATCTCATTAGTTTACTAATACATAGGCTTTTTAATTCAGATAGGGATTTTTTTAGTGTATTAGAGAATTTACTTAGATTTACTACCTTCCATTTTAGTTACTAAATCTTTTTAACTGCATATAAATTTTATATTTTGTCAGATGCCTTTGCAACATTGGGAGTGGGGGAGGCATTATAAGTGCTATTATTCCCAGTCCTCTAAATCTCACATATAAACCACTTTTTTAAAAATATTTATTTATTTATTTATACAAGCACTGGGTACAGTCAGAAGCGCGGGAGAGTGAGAGAATTCACCAGAGCCAGAGCAGGGAGCAGAGAAGGCAGAAGGACCGAAGTACACTGCTGAGGGGAGCAGCGGGCGGCAGGAAAGGTCTGCACGCCATATGGGACCCTCCTCCGGTGGCCGGGGAGCAGCCGGGGATCGAACTGGCGGCTGCAGAGGCTGCGGGCAGCTTCGCAACCCAGCGCTCAACCGCTGCGCCACCAGGGAGGCCCTAAACCACTTTCTTAATAGTAAACCATTCTTAAGTTCCTATCAAAAGTCCAACTCAGAGCAGTGTATTTTTCTTGAGCATGCTACTGGTTTTGGTTTGCTTGTGCTATAATCAACAATTTTACTCATAAATATTTATAATTCAGAGCCTTTTTAAGATAATTTTTTAGATAACTACTAAAATTACAACGATTACTATTTCAACTAGATGCTTGCCTTTCTTTCACTCACTTTCTCTGAGCAACATTCATTTGGACCTTTCTAAATCTGAGTTTCAATTTTTAAAATTTCCATCTGCAATTACGGTTACATGCTATTTATTGTTTCTAATTTGGCACTTTTATGCTTTTCATCTTTCCTCTTGTTAGCTATCATAAATACTTGTCTCTATTTCCTGTCTTATCTGTGCTCACCACAGATCAGCTATTTCATCTATCAAATCTCCTTTTTGTCTCATGTTACAATTTATTTTCACTTACTTGCATGAATATCAAGGTCTAATGAATTAAAAAAAAAAAGGGGGGCAGAAAGCTAAATAGGCAGTTCTCCAAAGAAGATATGTATATGGCCAACAGACATGGAAAAATGCTCATCATCACTTAGCAGGGAAATGCAAATTAAACAAGAGATACCACCTTACTCCTGTGGGAATGGCACACCTCAAAAAAACCACAAGTGGTGGGGAAGGTGTGGAGAAAAAGAAACACTATTACACTGATGTGGGAGTGTAGATTTGTCCAGTCACTATGGAAAGTAGTATGGAGATTCCTCAAAACACTAACGACAATGGGCCTCCCCCGTGGCACAGCGGTTGGGTGCTGGGCTGCGAAGCTGCCCGCAGCCTCTGCAGCGCCAGTTCAATCCCTGGCCACCTGTGAGGGTCCCACATGGCACACAAATCTCTCCTGCCACGCCCGCTGCTCCCCTCAGCAGTGTACTTCATCAGTCTGCCTGTTCTGCTCCCTGCTCTGGTGAATTCTCTCACCCTCCTTCTGACTGTACCCAGTGCTTGTATAAATAAATAAAATTAAAAAAAAAAAGACTAACAATGGATTTACCATAAGACCCATTAATTCCATTCCTGGATATCTACCCAAAGAGCACAAAAACACTAATTTGAAAGGTAATCTGCACTCCTGTGTTGACAGCAGCACTATTCACAATAGACTAGATATGCCCCAGAACAGGTGAGTGGATGAAGAAAATTTGGTATATACACAATAGAATACTACTCAGTGATCAAAAAGATAAACTCATGCCATTTGTGGTAAGGGATTATTCTAAGTGAGCCAGAAGGAGACAGATAAACACCAGATGGTTTCACTTACATGTGGAATCTAGAGATTTCAAACAAAGGATCAGACAAAGACAAACTATAAGAATGACCCCTGAAAACAGACGATAGATAAGCAAGGTGGACTGTGGTTGAGTACTGTGGGCACTTTGGTGGTAGGAGAATTATGATGACCACATCTGAGCAGAGAAATCCTATATTATGAAAAAATAAACAAGGATGTTGAAAAAGACAGAAAGACAAAGAAAGAGGCTTAAGGAGTTCTTGTCATGCTGTGCTATTAACTCAACTTATAAAGCATCTATTTCCATTCAATATAATGAACCTATCTTGGGGCAAATTAAAGTGCTATGCCTTCTAAAAATTAATTACAAATGTCATTACAATCTCACTACAATCTACTGCAATTTTTAGAACCTATTTTAAACAATTTGTTAAAGTTTCAGAAAACAAAATAACAACATACATGTGGGCTTAGAAAACCACTTAAATTTTGTTTATCCAGAATATACTGCCCCAGTGTTTTCTATTCATTCACAGCACTATGTAAGCCAAACATTTCAAAATAAATTAACTATGTTAGAGGAAAGCAAAATGGAAAAAATGAATGTTGGAGACTATGTTTAAAATAATGCAAATATAAACAATATAACCTTACTGAAAATAGGAGAAAACACTTCAGAAAGCCACATGTTTCTCTTTAGGAATGATAATCTGCTGTGGCAAAACTCAGTATTTGTATAACTTCTATTCATGCATTCTTGCAATTTGCCTATTGTGGGGTTTTTTTGTTGTTTTTTTTTTTTTTTTTTTTTTTTTTTTTGTTACTACATTGGATTCCCTGGTATTTTGTTACTATAATTTGGCTTGCATTTTCCTGTGTAATTTGTGTACATTTTTCAGAAATATTAACTACCTCCACTGTTCCCTATGAAACTCAAATGGACATTCTTACAAAAGTACTTATTTTAAAATGCATTTTCCATAGGATATGTCAGTGGAGGGAAAACTTCTCTAAAAAATGTTAAATACGATTCATTTTGAGTCCTGTGATTTTTCCCAAACCTGAATTGATTCTACTTGTTACTAGGTGTTCTTATTCTTAAACAGAGACCATCCCATTTAATATAGGGACCTCCTCAGCATTTAACTTTGCCCCAGAAGTTTACATGTCCCTTCCACTGACCATAAGAATTCTACGATGGACTTCTAGATATTCACTTTTGAGATATTTGGGTAAAGGCTAATATACCCACATACACTTGTCAAGTAGAATTATTCCTTTCTGCAGACTATGAAATTCATGTGTGAAGTATATAACCACCATGGGTGGAGGGAGAAGTTAAAAGATGGAGACTTGGGGGTGGCGACATCTTACCTGCTTGCCATCCAGTGTGCAGAGCCTCTTGACCACTCCTGAGTCTAGTTTAATGGCTTCAGTGATATCTGTTAAGACTTGTTCAAAGGAATGAGCAGTCTTCTTATTCAGAAGGATCCGCACGGCTTTTCTGGGCTTCACTCCACTTCGAATCACAGTCACTAACTTGGGTTTGATGAAATCTTTACTTTCTTTCACTTCACTTTTCACTGAGGAGGCAGCAGCCAAGGCCCGGGTGCTTCCACCCTTGACGTTCACAGACCAGTTTGGATTAATATTTTTGGTGTAATCAACTTTACGAAATGGTTCATTCGATGCACACACATAACTCTCACCTGAAAAGCAAAAATCAGTTTTATTAGCATGATTATCCCCAACATAGGAGCATTTTGTAAGAACAAGAAATACTGAAACCTATGAAGTGAACTTCTAAATTTAACAGATTCACCAAAAGGGGATTTATGCCCTTTTCTTTGGCATTTTCCTGACACTCCCCACCTTTCTTTTAATAGCAGCTGAATTCATTTTGCGGGAGTAACATGCATTACAGGTTGAAAATTACTGACAAAGAAACTATATAGATCTGGCTTTGTTCTGAAGAAATGTGTCACCCTGGATAATTCCTCTCCACATCATTATCTGTAAACTGAAGTTGCTGGAACCAGATGGTTTAAAGTATTTTCTTATTCTGAAAGTCCAAACTGTATCACTAAGTAACACATTTTTTTTAAAGATTTATTTATTTATTTATTTATTCATTCATTCATTCATTCATTCATTCAAGCACTGGGTACAGTCAGAGGCGTGGGAGGGTGAGAGAATTCACCAGAGCTAGAGGGGAGAGCAGAACAGGCAGAGTGACGCTGAGGGGAGCAGTGGGCGGCAGGAGAGGTCTGCATGCCATGTGGGACCCTCGTACGGCAGCCAGGGATCGAACCGGTGCTGCAGAGGCCACAGCCAGCTTCGCAACCCAGTGCTCAACTGCTGCGCCACTGGGGAGGCCCACTAAGTAACACATTTATGAAAAGAAATAAACATTTTTCCTCCTCCTTCCAATGATAAGATTTCAGTCTTAAGCAAGGAGCAATCCCTACATCTTCATACAGCTAAGTTATATTGAACAATAGGATCAGTTACTCAATAATTGAAGCACTACGAAAATGAAAAATTTGACAGCTCAAAAAACCTTCCTCTGGGGTTGTATTTTCATAATTAAAAAATGTGGATTTAAAATAATTAGTTTAAATAGTCAACTTTTCTATATTTAGTGGGAAAGGCCATGTTTCATGGCCATGTAATCTGCTTAATTTTTTAAACAAAATTCACATTTTTAGGTTAAAACAAACCATACAAAATTTGTTTTCTTCACCAAAAATAGCAATATTAATAAACAAAAAAACACTTATTTTTGTAAGTTTTCCAGGTTTTGCTTATATTTACAAGGCGGTAGATAACAATCATGGAAAAAGACAGAAGAAGACAGACAAATCAGTGGTTGGTAACCATGGCCTCTGATCCTGTTCAGACTGAGAATCAGAAGTGTTCAACATGCACCTCTTCTGTAAAGCTTAGGAAGATGTTGGCTCAACAAAGGAACATAAATAGCACAACCAGATGTGGAACAAGGACAGGCTCTTCCCTTCAAACTGAAACTTGTTCCTTCAGGTTCCGTAGTAAAGACAAAATCTACACTGAAATCCTCGTTTGGCAAACTCACACACTTCTCTACTATCTGGTAATTCCCTTAACTATCCACTACAGATGTTTAACATCACACTTAAAACACTCCAGTCAGAAGCTTCATTGTAACATTTTATACAATGTATTCCTTCCTCCCACACTGCCACAAATTTCTTCAAAGAACTGATAACTCAAGGCCTAACAAATAAATCCACAGAGATGTTATATCTTAAATGACTAAACTAAAACAATGCTAAAGTGCCACTAGTAGAGATCACACACAGAAGTGTGGGTAGCACTTTCAACGCTGTCTTCTGGAAAGGCAGTTAGATCACTAAAGCTTGAGAGTTCAAACCTAGGCCATTTAATAGGCAGATTATCAATGTCTAATGTACTCAATGGGAGACCTATATGTTGAGGCAATCACTGATTAAGTGCCCTACCGTATAGCTTTCCTGTAAGATGTTTTCAAATTCCATACATTTTCTCAAATAGCAAATATCAGAAAAGCCTTGTTTTTAAAGTCTCTTTGGTATTTTTAATGGTTTCTGAATTGTCTCTAGGAAGTGCTGGTTTGGTTGTGTAAAATTGGATATCTGTGTTCTCCAATAATCCAGATCATGTTTTATATAAAGATTTATGTTAAGCAAAGCCAAATTACTTGACTCTTGGCCTGTTAAAAATGCTCCTTAGATGGCTTTGAGAAACTTGCACCCATTTTCATAATCTTCTGCTGAATTTTTAATAAAACATTAAAAAGTATACTATTTGTCACTTGGTCTACTGCTTCATTGTTCATTAAAATTTTAAAATGATACACTGAAAATCACAATTTTCTTTTTGAAAACTTGTAAGACTTAACTTTCAATGTCAACTTTTTGGTATAGAAGGTAAGAGAATTTAACACTAAGATTTTGTCAAAGATATCTACTCATTCAAATAAAATCCATTCTTTTCCCACATATACAGTATAATAGTCTCATTCTTTTTTTTTTTTAAAGATTTATTTATTTATGCATACAAGAACTGGGGTACAAGCCAGGGAGGCCCACAAGTGTTTTAACATGCACCCTTCATGTGGACATGGAAGATACCAGGAAAAAGCGAGCAACTCAAGGACATGACTTTAGAATTAAGGCTTAATATCTTTTTTTTTTTAATTTTTGTGCATATGTTTATGCATATTAAGACAGAAGTTATATTATACAAGCCTTCAATGCTATAAATGCTTAAAACAAAATAATCCAAATAGGGAAGGGGAATTCCTGAGGAAAACTTATTAACATAAATGTTATATTTAACTATTTTTATTAGGATATTCTTGAAATACTGACTAATGGAGGACTTAAGGACTCTCAAAGCCAAAAGAACAATTCAGTAACAGATCAGACATACAAGAAAGGTCTAAAAAGAAGAGTAATGTCTTCTATTTATAATTAAGGCCCTGCCCAGGAAAATTAGGGAACCAGCTATAGGTTTACATGCTACTTCTAAACCAGTACTCTAAAATCTAACCCAACTCCTATGATTTAGTTAAAGATCTTTCATCTCTGTAGGTTTGTCTAAAGCATTTTTATAGTATAGTCATCTGGGGAAATGCTATGTAATTCCAAAAACAGGTATAAATTTAATAAACTACAGCCATATATTACATGTGTGTACTAATTAACAAGGGTAAATAATTAGGATTTTGCTTTAATTTTTTTGAGAACTCTCACATTGAAAAGGTCTTACTATTTCCATAGCTAAGAATGTAATTGTATTGATACTAAATATTAAGAGGAAAGAAAATGGATCTCAGCAAGAGAAAGGGATTTTTTTTAAGAGCAGGGAAAAGTTGTTAGCTGGGGCAAAGCACCTCCTAAAATAGAGAGAAAGATAATTGTAAAAATAAGAAGAAGTAAATTTAATATGTCAGATATCCTTGATCAGTCTAGTCTCTACACACTTAACACATCAATCAGTAGTCTGCTTTTTAAATTCATCTATATGTTGTCTCTTTACAACTGTTCAGAATGTCAAAGTGGAAATAGGTAGAGAAAATATCTCTTTGAGGGGCCTTCCCAGTGGCGCAGCGGTTGAGCGCTGGGTTGCAAAGCTGCCCACAACCTCTGCAGCGCTGGTTCAATCCCCGGCCGCCGGGCAAGGGTCCCACATGGTGCGCAGACCTTTCCTGCTGCCCGCTGCTCCCCTCAGCAGTGTACTTCATCAGTCTGCCTGCTCTGCTCCCCGCTCTGGCTCTGGTGAATTGTCTCACCCTCCCGCACTTCTGACTGTACCCAGTGCTTGTATAAATAAATAAATCTTAAAAAAAAGAAAGTATCTCTTTGAGTTTGTTTGCAGTTACAGATAAATTTAAATACACTCCCTCTTTCCCTTCCTTCCTTCATAATGTTTATTAAAACTTGTAGATTTTGAATAGACATCTCAAAGAAGATGCACAGATGGCCAACAGGTACATGAAAAGATTTTCATCATCTCTTATTAGGGAAATGCAACTCAAAACCACAATGAGATTCTCACTTTACAACTTTTAAAACGATTATCAAAAAGTCAAGAAGTACTCAGTGTTGACAAAGATGTAGAGGAAAGAGAGTCGCCATACATTTGTGGGCATGTAAACTGGTACAGCCACTATAAAACATGCATGAATGACAAAACAAGCAGGGTTTTTGGTTTTGTTTTTTTTTTTTGTCTAAAACTATCTGGATCTAAATATTGTCTTCAAATACAAAAACACTAGTTCAAAAGGAAACTTTCACTCCTCTGTTCCTTGCAGCACTATTTACAATAGCCAAGGTATGGAAACAACTTAAGTGCCCCCAAACAGATGAGTGGACCAGGAAGATGTAGACTACTACTCAGCTGTGAAAAAAAGATAAAACTCTTGCCACCTGTGACAACACAGATGGAACTGGAGGGGATTATGCTAAGAAAAATAAGTCAAAATGAGAAAGACAAATACTGGTGATGCCACTTATATGGGGAATATAGAGAAACAAAAGATCAGATATAGTCAATCCAGTACCAAACCCTAGAGATCTGATGGTAGAAATCTGAATTAAAGGATACCAGAGGGGGACAGGGAGGAAGCACAATAAACCATGGGGATGGACGATGGTGGTGGGTGTAGTGTCATGAAGAGGGAGATCCTACACCTCCAAATACAGTGTTGTAAACCAGTGTTAATACAACTGTTAAAAAAGCAAAGCAAAACCAAAAAAATCTGGGGGCCTCCCTGGTGGCGCAGTGGTTGAGCGCTGGGTTGCCAAGCTGCCCGCAGCCTCTGCGACGCCGGTTCAATCCCCGGCTGCTCCCCGGCCACCGGAGGAGGGTCCCACATGGCGCGCAGACCTCTCCTGCCACCCGCTGCTCCCCTCAGCAGTGTACTTTGGTCCTTCTGCCTGCTCTGCTCCCCGCTCTGGCTCTGGTGAATTCTCCCACCCTCCCGCGCTTCTGACTGTACCCAGTGCTTGTATAAATAAATAAAAATAAATCTTAAAAAAAAAAAAAAAAAAAAAACCAAAAAAATCTGTTTTCTACTCATTTCTCAAAAGTATAACAAGTTTTCTAAGTGAGAGTGATACAGCTGAAAAAAAATCTATTGTAAAGCACTGACTCATGATATAATGATAAAACACTACATTGGGACAGA